CGCCCGTGCTGAAAACACTTCCCATGGGACGGGCCATCCATTGGTCCCTTGCGATGACTCACCAGCCTCTGAGTGGCTCCTTTTTCTCAGCTGTTGTGGCTCCTCGTTCCTATGTGGGTCCACAGGAACCCTATTAGTGGTCTTGCTAGCCTGGGGGCCACCATGGCCCCCTTCTCCCCTACCACCTCCATGCAACTTCATTGGAAGGGCACAGCTGTGGCTTTTGTCAGCTCCTGCACCATGTGCTCAGCAGTTCCAGCCTGGATGCAGCCAGGGCTTGAAATGGCCCAAGCAATTTTGCTTTCTCTCATCGTGGCTTCTCCCACCTTCATGCACTCCGTAGGTCTGTCCTGCTCTTTCCCTGAGCTCTAGCAGCCCCAGGTTGGCTGTCGTTGCTTTTTTATATTTGTAAATTGATTGCTTTGTGGGAGAAAGTGACACTGGGGACTGTCTATTCCACCATCTTGACCGGAAGCCAACAAAACCTACCATTTTGCCTCTCTTGTGGGAAAGACAAAAGGCAGATGGGGAAAGAAATCAGCTTTCATTGTTTAACTCCAGCTCCTGTATTTTAACTCACAGGAGTTGGTAACTTGGCAGGTGTAAATTTCCTTGTTCATAGTTTTTAGGCATGTGGCTGATTTTATGAGCTTTTGGGGTGTTCCATGAAGGAACAAAGCCGCATTCATTCTCTTCACCTTTGGTGATCCAGTTAATCCATCTGTTCTGTTACCTCCAGCTGAATAACAATCCACCCCAGAATTTAGTGGCTTAAAACCATGACAGCACACTATCTCTCACAAGTCTGCAATCTTGAATGGGCCTAGCTGGATGAATCTTCTCATCATGGTGTGTGCTTGGACTGAAATATCTAAGATGGCTTTTTCACTCATGTGTCTCACCTGGGATGGCTGGAGCATCTAAGACCTGGTTGAGGATTTCTCCATATGACCTCCCCACAATGCTAGCTTGGGCTTCCTCACAGCATGGTGGTCTCGGGGTAATCAGATTAGTCTTTTGGGGGGAGTGGGGTGGCTGGCTGGGGATCTGAACCCTTGATCTTGGTGTTATCAGAACCATGCCCTCCCTATTGAGCTAACCAGCAGCCCCACAGTAGTCTTTTTACATTGTGGCAGGCTTCCAGTTTCCAATTTACAGCATCCCTTGAAGCCTAAACTGGCACAGTGTATCTTCTGCCACATTCTATTGTTCAAAGCAAGTCACAAGCCAGTCTAGATTCAAAGGAAGGAGAAATAGACTCCACCTACTGAGGAGAACAGCATGCCATCGCAGCAAGGACAAGAATTGATGGTGTCATCTTTGTAGATTATTTACCATGGTCTGCTGAGTGATACGTCTCTTGATTTATTGATCTTCTCTTTTGATTCTTTTTTTTTCTTTAAGTTCAACATTCTTTTTTATTTATTTTTTTGATATTCAAAAAGCTGTATGTAATTAATGTACACAGCTTGATGATACATTGGAGATAAGCATATACCCATGAAAGCACTACAATGTATCCCATAAACCATCCATCACCTCTAAATGTTTCCTTTTGTTTGCTAATTTTTTATCATGATTATCATCATCATCATCATCATTTTTTTATTCTTAATGGCATTATTTGGTATAGGAACACAGAGCAGGCGGGAATTAGTCCCATGGCCTTAAACACCAATTTTTTTCCCAGCAGTTACAGGGTGCTTTGGAAAAGCATGCTGTCTCTGCCCTGGACTATAGGGCTGGACACATTATTTAAAGGCTCCTTTGACTCCTTTGGGAAGTACAATAATGGGTAACATCAATCAAGCACTTGCTACAGGCCAGGCCCTATGTTTATGCCTTTTTCATGTACGATGTTATTAAATTATCATAATCTTTCCAGGCCTATGCATTCGATTTCAGTGGCAGATTCTGGGTTGGTTCAGGCAGTGGAACACAGTGTGGCAGAATTGGTACTGAAAATCCAGAATGTTTCCCACACTCAAGGTCACCAGCCCCTCCCTTCCTAGAAACACTTATTCCCTTGGGATACTTATTATCCATTCTTTTTTCCTTCCCCCTTCCCAGAATCCTTTTTGTCAATATTATTCTATTTCATCAGCAAGATAGTTTGTATTCCATTAATTAGATATTTGTCCCACTCGGGTCCCTTTCTTCCTTTGCCCCTAGACCCACTGTCCTCCTGCAACAGATGCAAACAAAGAGGGACCCTAAGGAAGGCCAGGGAACACAGATCACCTGTGTAGAGTCTAGTTCGTTCTGAGTGGAGGGAAGGGCTCTGGGACCACACACAGACCACACACACAGCTGGTGCCCCCTACACACCCTGAGGGCAAAGAAATCTGCTCAAGGTAGAGAATGACGTTAACACCTGGTTTTGTACCGTTCCCATAGAGCACACTCAGTAAACATGTGGTTAGGATAATGACTGTTATAATATGACTTTATGTTGGGTTATCAGCAGACCCAGAGCCAAGGAAACACCCTGAAAATTTTACTGAGGTAGCACGCAAGGTTTATTGATTTATAATTTACATACCATAAAGTCATCCACTGAAAGTGTACAATTCTATGGTTTATAACATTTATGCAGTTGTAAGCCATCACCTCAATCAAAGTTTAGAACATTTTAATCACTCCAGAAGGAAACTTTGTTTCCATTAACAGTTATTCCACATACCACTCCCTTTCCCATTCTTAGGCAACCTCTGATCTGCATTCTTTCTCCATAGATTTGCTGATTCTGGACATTTCATATAAATGGAATTTATAGCGGCCTTTGGTGAAAGACTGGCTTCTTTTAGTGTCATGTTTTCTGAAGTTCATCTGTGTTGGAACATGTATCAGTACTCTATTTCTTTTTATGGATGAATTATATTCCATTATATGGATATATCACATTTTGTGTGTCCATTCGTCAGTTCGTGAACATTTGGATTATTTTCATTTTGGGGCTATTATGAATTCGAGCACTCATGTACTAGTTTTTATGTGGAAACGTTTTCATTTCTCTTGGGTAGATATCTAGGAGTGAAATTGTTGGGTTAAATAGTAACTCTATGTTTAACCTTTTAAGTTAAATTGTGATTAATTCAGTTAATCAAAACCGAAATGTTTTCCAGAGTGGCCACACCATTTTACATGCCCATCACAATGTATGAGAGTTCCAGTTTCTCCACATCCTCACCAACACTTGTGATGGTGCACACAGCATTTTAACTAGCCTTTCACTTAAGTATCTACCCAGTTTGGGCTAAGATTCTGATGCCGCAGTCATGCGTGTGTGATGGGTCCAAATAGGGTTCAGGCATTCATTCAACAAGCATTTATTCAACATCTTTTCTGTGCTAGGACAGTGGCCATAAGGACCCTGTGCTCAAGGAGATCACAGTCTAGTGGAGGTAGATGAGCGAACAAATGGGTACAGTCTCACGCACCTGCCAGACTCATGCCAGAGGAGGCTTTGGAGGCATAACGGAAGAGCCCTTATTCTGAATGTCACAGGAAAGCATACCTGGAGGAGGTGACACTTCCTCCAAGCAAGAAAAAGAGAGTCAGGCCCAGCAGAGGGGTTGGCTGGCGCGAAGAAACTTCAGGAAGAGGGACAGCGTTAAGCCCGTTTCGTAGTCACTACACATCCCCCCATCTCCTAATCCCTGGCAACCACTGATCTACCTTCTGTCTCCACGGATTTGCCTATCCTGGACATTTCACATGGATGGTTGAACTGTTCATATATCAATTTCTTTGATAATTTTTTTTTCTAGGATCCTAAACACTTCAAGTCAGAGAAAACAGGACGGGGACAATTAAGGGAAGGCTGGAGAGATAGTCATCAGCCTATCATGTGCTCCTACAAGCTGGTGACCGTGAAATTCGAGGTCTGGGGGCTTCAGACCAGAGTGGAACAATTTGTACACAAGGTAAGTGATCAAACAGAAATTCCTGGGCTGTGGACAAGGTCACTCTCTTTATTGCCAACTTGGGGTAAATGATGCACAATAAATGCACCAGGTAAAACACTTTTTGGATGAAAATGCATTTTATATATAGGTTTAATTGTCTTCCGCTAATAGATGTTTTTACGTTTCATCTCTCATTCTGTGACCTCCGTGTCTATGGATGAGTATATTTGGGAAGGGGGCTTTTGAAACATAACATCTCACTTTAGCATCAGGTTAATCATATTCCAGCAGAGGCACCTGGAAAGAGGCCAAAGGGCTTATCAGTGTGTGCAGCTGAGGGTAATTTCCACTCAAAAGACCCTGCAAATGTAGGTACCTAAAGTGGAAGATGCCCCAAGAGACAAACAAGAAATCCCAGTAGCCCCATTAGACAGCACACCTCAGCATTTCTGCTCATTTAATAATTCTGTTATCAAACAATTATTAACAACCTCAGAACACGGATTTCAATTGTATGCCCACTTTAGCTAAACATGTTAATTTTGTAGCAGGAACCTGCTTGGTGATGATTTAAGTTTTCTCAGGGTTTCTAACATGACTGTAATTCTCATGGGGAAAAAATGGAAAATGCAGTGTTGAACATGGCCCTTTGTAGCTGTTCCCATTTGCATAAAAACAAATACTATTAAAGTTGTCTCTACATTCCAGATAGACTGGCTGTCTTTATTTTTCCACTTAAAAACTAATAAAGAGGAGCTCTCCAAAATTCTTCTGGGGGCACTAGAATTTAACCTTAATGTACAGAGCTTTTTGTTACTTAAATGGATTTGTCTACTGAGATTGGGGGCCAACTGACAATAAAAAGTTTAATTCTTAAATTTAGATCCAAGGAATAGCTCACCAGTCTCTCAAACTCTCGTAAGTTCAGCTCACGATAATAGCAGACTCGAACAAATTTGAGAACCTTGGCGTTTTCTTAAACAGAGACAGATGCCGATCCTCTAGTGAGGTCCAGAACTCATTCTGCCAGCCAGGAGTGGGAATGGATTGAGATACACCGAAATCAAGTTCTGGGACCTTCTGTTTTCTTTCTGTTTCCTGCTTATTATGCAGGAAGACAGTCACAGCTCCCAGAGTAAATATTTCCTAGCCTCAGCTGTGTCTAAGATTGTATCTTCCTTGACTTCCTACAATATTCCACCACCACCACCACCACCCCCTTTTCTTTTCTTTTCTTTCTTTTTTTTTTTTCGATCCTCTAGTGAGGTCCAGAACTCATTCTGCCAGCCAGGAGTGGGAATGGATTGAGATACACCGAAATCAAGTTCTGGGACCTTCTGCTTTCTTTCTGTTTCCTGCTTATTATGCAGGAAGACAGTCACAGCTCCCAGAGTAAATATTTCCTAGCCTCAGCTGTGTCTAAGATTGTATCTTCCTTGACTTCCTACAATATTCCACCACCACCACCACCACCCCCTTTTCTTTTCTTTTCATTTTTTTTTTTTTGCTGCTTTTTAACCCAAAATGATCTCTTACTAGGACCATTATCATAGTGCATGATATTTATTTATTTCCTCTCACGAACGTATTTAGATTGTCCCAGGACTCACTGTATGCCTTTTCTCAGATAATTTTGGCTAGTTTTAAGAAATTTTTCTCTAAAATTCCTGTAAGATTTATTTTTTGGTCACAGGCATTCCCATTGCCCATTTCTAAATATAATAAAGTGCGATCAACACCCCAAAACACACCTGCTCTGGCACATGAGTTGCTAATGAGTATCTGAGGCTAGCATTCGCATGGGTTTAAAGTGTCAGGGATGCCTTTCTCTGAACACCTTTATTTTTTTAAGAATCTATTCACAGTTAAGGGGAAAAAATGTTCGAAAGTGAGCCATTAGCACATTATTGAATTCCTGTTTCGAGCCGGCAGCTGTGTTGTGCTTAATGTAATAGGGTGTATTTACTGATGCTTCAACGCTGCTCTTTTGATTTTCATGAATTTGACACACTCAGCACTCAAGTGTGTATGGCTATGCGTTGTTTCTTACATTCATTTCCAAATCATAAAAGCCTCACTAGATATCCAGAGGCCTGGAGTAATAAACACTTCATTATAAATGCTTCCCTCATTTCTGTGAATTCGCTGAATTAAAATCCTTCATTTATTAAAACATGCTTGAACCTTCCACGAGAGGTTTTTGACAATTGCGATTTGTTTGGCCTAAAGAAAGGAATGTCGGAGAGACACTGAGTAGCCAAGAAACATAAAAAGGCATATTTATATAGGACGAAAAAGAATACCATGAAACAGAAGCACGTATCACACACACACATGCACAAATGGTATACTCGTGTATCATTTTCTGAGCTCTCTATTGCCATTATGTGTCACCATAAGAAACAATTCCTTTTGTCTTCAGTCAAGCTTATCATTCCCATTATGTTCTATTCTAGTTCAGGTCTCTTATTTCATCTCTTTCAACATTAGTTGACTAAACTGCTACTTTTTCCTTCTACTACATGAAAGTCAAGCCTAAAAGAATATTTACTTATCTTGTATCTCACATTTTCACTTATTTTTTTTTTAAATTGAATCAATATTTAGGATATTTCATCAGAGAAGAGGGAATGTTAAGTGTCCTTTGCTAGAAATGACATGCTGCCCAGAAAAATGTTCACAATTTCCAACATTTATGACCTCCTGGTACCAGGGAGACACACACCCTCCCACAAATGAAAAATGGATGCTGTTTTAGTTAAAGATAGATGAAGAGCAAAACTTCAAGGTGATTCAACTAAAGATTCATTCGAATTACTGCTGTATGACTGCCAAGTGGTTGTCATTACTTTGTACACACTCCCAGCCTGACTCTCAAATAAGACAAAAAGACTCATCCACAGCAAGTATCTGCACGCCACGGAACGGGCCGGGGTGAGCAGACACAGTGTCTGTGGGTGCCAGCTTGTAATTGTCATCACATATGGACAAAGGGATTGAGAAATCTGTAATTGCCAGGATTCCCAGTATGGGAAACAACCTATTTTCCAGATAGTTTTAATCAAACATGGTATTATTTCAGCCTCCTTCTTTCACTTTTTAGGTGGTACGAGACATTCTGCTGATTGGACATAGACAGGCTTTTGCATGGGTTGATGAGTGGTATGGTAAGTCAATTTCCCCTAAATAACTAGTAGAACAACTTCATAACATGTTGACATGGGCTTTCAGTCCCTCTGGCTACGACTGCTACCTAGAAGGATGACAACAAAGGCCAGGCTGCCACTTCCTGTATGGGAAATAGCACTAACCACTGAGCATAATGAAAACGTCATTATAGAAGCTTGGTCTAAAATAACCACGACTGCTACCTAGAAGGATGACAACAAAGGCCAGGCTGCCACTTCCTGTATGGGAAAATAGCACTAACCACTGAGCATAATGAAAACGTCATTATAGAAGCTTGGTCTAAAATAACCACAGAGTTATTGACTAAGTAGGACCTCTCAGTATGTTTGATGCTTGCATAGTTGATTATGCAGGGCTCCATCATTCTCTGTTGGATGGGTTTCAAATCCCTCCTAATTTATCCCAAACTTCAATTCAAGAACAAAGCTGTCTGAAGTATCATGTCAAGTAAAAGCAGTCCTTTGATTCAGAGAAAACTTGAAACAATCCCTCACCAAACACATGCAGGTTCTGCAAGAATTCAAGGGCAGACAAAGGCACAGGTGCTTCGTTAATCCTAATTGAAATTATTGTTCTGGCTTTTTTTCATGACATGGGATGAATTCTGCATATTGCCAGTTAATGAAAACAAGGTTTGCTTCATTCTGCCATGGGTGGACCAACCTTCCCAGTCCTCAGCACCACTGTTTTGCCCACATGAATCCTCTGATTCTCAGAATCAGTCATCAGATGACTGGTGTCCTTGGTTATAAATAGAAGCAAACACTTCCAATTGGTGACTTAGGTTAGAACTGATATTCAGGCTGATTTTCTAATGAAATGCCCTCCTCCTTGGACCTTTCCTAAGTCACATTAAATTTGTTCTGTGTGTAGCCTAGATTGCATTTTGGTCCTTTTCCATCATTGTTCCACCAATTCCCTCCCTTTTTTAAGCAGAAAGCACCAAATTTAAAGTAAAAGGATATGTTGGATGGAATGGACAAAGACAGTGATTGTTATTAATGTTGTAGCTATTTCTGAGCCACATTTAAAAAGACATGGTTCTGTAGACTACGATCTTTTTCTTTTTCTTTTTTTCTCAACTTTCCCAGATCCGCACCTTCTGAAGGCCTAATGCATCTTCCTGTGTTTGTCCAAAGGCAGATCATCATCTACTCTCCCTTATCGCGCCCCCCTCCCCACCACTGGGTGGGCGCTGTTCTCATGCAACAGGTGCACTGGCTTGCCACACTGTCATGAAGTCTCCCAAGGACCTGTCTATTTGTGGTTGTCTTTTGTGAGGCAGGTGGAAGGAGAGTCTCCTGTGATTACTTCCTCTGATCCTTAGACAAATCTTTCTGGTTGTTTTTTCCAGGGAGCTTTTCTCAATTCTCAGAGGGAGCACAGATCCCCAAAAGGGTTAAGAACTTCTGGTCTTTCCCAACTTGTGCTCCTCGGAGCTCATGGTTTCCTTGCTAGCAACTGCAAGGGAATTTCAAATGGCTATTCACAGAATCATAGGCTCGAACTGATTAGAAGTTTGACAAGAGGACAGGCACCTGAAGGGCCAAGAATCTGCCACTTTGAAGACCAAGAGACAGGGCACTTGGGTATGTTTCTCTCTAGTGCCAGAATGCCTTAGAGGACTTTTTAGAAAGGCAACATCAAAAAAGTTAGCCAGGCTTTGATCAAGAGGACAAAACACTGCAAGGCTGTTAATCAGAATAGAGGGTTTGATTAGAGGCAGGATTTGGGAAGAAAAAATAATGTGAGTGGGAATCTAGTAAGTGAATGGCTGGTACAGATGGTGGGGGCTGACTCTTCTCTGTCTCAGCTAAACCCAGGGCAAGAAAGAGACTTAAGGACTTTTAATTTTTTTTTTAAAAAATTGTTTTAAAGAATTATCAGATTATTACAAGAACTCGGAGCTGGAATAATGCTCAGAAACTCTGGGGATGTAGTGTTCTAACAAGCCCCCCCCCAGATGATTCCAATGCTGGCTGAAGTTGAAGAACTATTGGTTTAGCATGGGCCATAAACCAGATTGGACTGTAAAGATGGTTTAGTTAAGTCAGTCCACATAGGTTAAACTAGAAAATCATAGATGTATTTGGTACCAACTGCTAAACTCTAATGCCTTGTGAGAATTAGAAAAAAACACCCCCTTTAGAGGGATGAATTTTCAAAAGGCAGACTCAATAGGTGCTATGGGCTTGGGGCTGAATTTTATCCCCATTCGATCTTCAGCTGGGTATTTGCACAGTGCACAAACCGTACACCCTTATGCGGTGGCAGCTCTGGATTATCTTCCTCTCTAATTAGACTCATCACCTCCAAGGTTTAATTAAGAGTCAAGAAAAAGGACACTGTAGAGGGTGGTGATCTTTTCTCACCCAAGGACTAATTTTACATCTCTTCTAAGTTTCAGCATTTGGCTGTCACGAAACTATTTTGCTAAACAGATTTTATTTTGTTCATGTTCATTAGAAAGGGTAACTATTTCCATGTTGGAAGAGTTGAGTTTGTCTTTCAAAGCCCTGATTGGTCTTTGTCCATGAGCCTTGGGTCTCTCTGCATGACTAGAACATTAATCAGAGAAGCAGCAACACCACATTTCAGAAGATAGGGTGAGAGGGGAGGCGGATAAAAATAGGCAGCCAAGCTTTGCAAAAGCATGGTTTTGCTTCACAATCTGACAGTATTTGGGAGAAGAGCACAGAAGATTGCCACAGGGAGCCTGTGAATGAGTGGAATGTCACAAATGTCTTTGAAAACCTGATTCTTCCCTAAAAGTATGAGGGAGGGGAAGTTCTGACAGGTAGAGATGAAGCTACCTTGTGAGAGTGACTTAGAAATCAGCCTGGAGTCCCTAGAACAACAAGTAACGCAACAACGAGTGACGCGAGCTCAAGGTGGAGAAGGAAGCCTGCTAGGGACTGCATTAACTGTTTGAGTTCACCACGCCAGTATGTTCCAATGGTCTCATATTTCCTGAAGTCTGAACTTAAGTGCATGGCTCTTATTGCAACATTTTATGTGTGTCCTTATGTTCATTTTTTATAGGGAGAGAACCCATAGCCTTCCATCAGATTTTCAAAGGAGTCTGTAAACCCTTCCCCTATTCACCCCCTACCCCCAATTAAGAAGTATAAAAAAAAAAATCACAACTGTAGATAATAGTTCTAGATCTTAGTGATCTGAATTACGTGGTGGGGGTATGAACCAAGCCTTGAGGATTGGCTACTTTCACTACTAAAAAGTGGAGTCACCCCAAGCTTTTTGTAACAAACATGTATTGAATTGATCATCATTCTAAAGCATTAAAAAATGGCACTTCCCCAAGGATAGCTGCCATTTTGCTGGAGCCAAAGGAGTATCACATCTAATTCATGATTTCTGGAGCCTCCCTGACCCAACTACTTGTTCAGACTTCAATTTTGACTTAAAATGAGAAAAAAATGACTTCTGGTTTGTCTGAGGAGCCCAGAAGTGGAGATAAAATGTTCATAGAAGGAAATAAAGTATAATGTGCCATTGGACAGGTCATTGAATTAAATATAAGACTCTCCTTTTTAAATTTCAGCTGCTGCAATACAATGAAGGGAAATTCATGCTTGTAGATGCTCTATTCCAGGGCATTTTTAGTTTCTCTGTGCATTCACCTGACTTCTACCCTAAAGTCCTTTCAAATATGTGATCTTGCCTCCACTTCCTGTGAAATCAACCTGCCTTCCTTAAAAACAAAATGATTGAAAGAGAGTTGCCACCATAAACAAAGTTAAAAGACTAGGAGAAAATATTTGCAACGTATGTAGCCAACTGAGGATTAGTATCTATAATATCTAAAGAGATCCTATAAACCAAAAATCAATAGAAGAAAAGTAAAAAACATGAATAGGTAAGTCATAGAAGACATGCAAATGGCTAATAAACTCCCTACTAATCACAAGGAATGTAATGAAAACAACAAGAAGATACGACATCTGGCCATTTGGTAGCAAAAAGTCAAGAGTGTGATAATATCCACTTTGGGATATAAAATGATAAAATACAAAATTTACTATGAAATATAAGTACAAATAACCTTTGACCCAGCCATTCCACTTCTAGAAATTTATTCTTAAGAAATATGTGTATGGGCCGGCCCGGTGGCGCACTGCTACAGTGCGCCGCTTGGGAAGCGTGGCGGCGCTCCCGCCCGAGGGTTCGGATCCCACATACAGACCGGTTCCCGCTCACTGGCTGAGCGAGGTGCGGGAGCAACACTGAGGGTTGCGATCCCGTTGCCGGTCCCCGGTCCGGTACAGGGGCAACACTGAGGGTTGCGATCCGTTGCTGGACACGGAAAAAGACAAAAGACAAAAAAAAAAAGAAAAAAGAAATATGTGTACAGGGCCGGCCCCGTGGCTCACTTGGGAGAGTGCGGTGCTGTTAGTGCTGAGGCCGCGGGTTCGGATCCTATATAGGGATGGCCAGTGCGCTCACTGGCTGAGCATGGTGCGGACGACACCAAGCCAAGGGTTGTGATCCCCTTACTGGTCAAAAAAAGAAAAAAAAGAAATACATGTACAAAGCTATTCTATACACATATATAGGTACATGTACACATGTACAAAACTATTCTGTGTGTTGGGGCTTATAAAAGCTAAAAATTACTGGGCCAGCCCAGTGGCGCACTGGAGAGTGTGCTGCTTGGGAGCGCGGCAGCGCTCCCGCCGAGGGTTCGGATCCCATGTGGAGACCGGTTCCCGCTCACTGGCTGAGCGCGGTGCGGGCACAACACCGAGGGTTGCGATTCCGTTGCCGGTCCCTGGTACGGGCGCAACACCGAGGGTTGCGATCCCGTTACCGGTCAGTAAAAAAAGACAAAAAGGAAAAAAAAAAAAAAAGCTAAAAATTAGTCTCAGTGTTAATGTCCACTGACAGGAACTGTGGTCTAGGAAATTATGATGCACCCATACTATGAACATTGTGTGTGACTGTTAAAAAAGAAGGTAATTCTATATGTACTGAGAAGGAAATATGTGCATTTTCCACTAGTACAAAAAGCAAGTCAGAACAATATGTATAGTATGTATAGTATAATATGATTCTGTATATATAAAAATGAATAAATAAGACTATGTGTGTGTGTTAACATACATGTCACTTCATAGAAGAAAAAATCTGCTAGCATATGCCTCAAACTCTTAACAGAGGTTATCTTCAGAAAGGGTAGGATTGGTGGGGAGGTAAACTATTTCCTCTGTATAATCCAGTAAATACTTGAATTATTTTTATGGAACATAATCCATGCATTGCTTGAGTGATCCAATAAATAAATCATAATTGAAAACCATATTTTATTATTTAAAAAAGAAGAAAATGGTTGAGGCAATGTACTCGTAAGACTCATAGCTGAAGTACATTTTACCCTTTAATGCAAACTTTTAGTTCATGGCTTAGGAAACCAAAGAAGATTCCTCAATTAACAAACCCCCTGGGACCAGAGCTTCTTACCCAAAGCTGGGCTGGTGGTAGAGGTGGAGATTCTGGTGTCAGCCCGGTCACCTGGCAGAGGAGAAGGTTCTATTTAGGCCCCATGCAGTGTGACCCTGCACATTCTGTGATACAAGAACGGGATCTGCTCTCTTCTGACCTGAAGGAGAGCAAGAAAGAAATGGTCTGGGCCAGCCCGGTGGCGCACTCGGTAGAGTGCAGTGCTTGGGAGTGTGGCGGGGCTCCCGCCGAGGGTTCGGATCCCATATAGAGACCGGTCTGCTCACTGGTTGAGCGCGGTGCGGGCGCGACACCGAGGGTTGCGATCCCGTTACCGGTCACGAAAAAAAGACAAAAAGGAAAAAAAAAAAAAAAGAAATGGTCTCCTGAGAGGGGAAGGAAAGGAAATTTTGTCCCACCAACGTGCAATGAGGAGGGCATTTATACCCCCAGAATACTTCCCAGTGCTGATTATATCAGTGAACCCCTGATAGCAAAGTGTCAAAGATATCAGGGTGTACTTTCCTTGTCAGAAGAAAGACTATGCTGGTTCCAGTATCCTCATAAATTAACTTCCGTGTTACTTGTTTAAAAAGACTTTCTTTAAGAGATGTTATCTCAGAAAAGCAAATTATGGCCTTTCAAAATCTATAAATTAAGGGGTGATTATTTACAATCTATTTGCAAAATAATTGGCATAAAAGGTTTCTTTTAATTTTGAGTTTGTCTGATATGTAAGTATTTGTTTGCTGGAAGCAAAGAGGTCTGAAGCTAAATTGTTAGAAGTCACCCTGAACATTGAAAATCAATCAGTAATGAAGACGAATCATCTCCAAAAGTATTTTCTGTCACTGGGCATGTGTAATTGAATTTATGAAAAAATTGATCCCTATGTAGATTTTTTTTTGCAAAGGCAAGACACAATGCATTTTACCAGATAACCTGAACAAGAACATTTTCACTTGACTAGGATTTCCATAAATTACTGAGAAATATTGGAAATGTTTACATCATTTCTATACATACTTGTGGTATGTGGGGATATTTCAGGATTTAGAAAAACATATTTTCCTTCAGCATCAGCAGGTACCAAATTATCATCATTTTTTAGAGAATACTCTACTAGAAATGTTCATTCTTATGTGGTTTAATTAGGAGAACTTTTTGTCTTTTAGGTGAAATTTCATTTCTTAAATCTTCATTTTTTAAAAAAAGGATTATGTTTCTAGAGTAAGCAGAAATTCTAAAAAAAAAGTATATCTTCTCCTTACTAATTCCAAAGTGATGGTATTCATCTTCTAATGACCCAAAGTAATAGATTTTTAAATAATGTTCTTTTTTCTTTCTTACACAATTAATGCATACTTGATATAGAAAATTTAGAAAGATGAAAATTATCCATAATTCCAACTCCTTGAAATAATCACTGTTAACATTTTGAAATGTATCCTTTTAGTGTTTCTTAAATGTATATAATGCTTTTCTGACAAAAATTATTTCCTATAATACGTATAATTTTTTACCTCCTATTTTTATTTAACAATATATCAAGGATATCTCTCGTTGTATCAAATATTCTTCTACCTCATTTTTAATGATTGCATAGAACTAAGTCCCCTGAGCTGTTTTTAATTTTTCACCATTATGAACAAGGCAGTAATGAATATCTTTGTTGTTAAATCCTTTTTCACATCCGTAAAATTGATATATCATCGAAAGCCCATAGTCACACAGTTGGAAGTCCCTATCTTAACTTTAAATAAATTAAAGATAAAGATGATTTCTGTTGGAATTCACTAAAACAAAAACAATAAAATTCCTTTGCTTTTCCAAATTCCTTTTTTCCAAATTACTGTCATGTCAGTGCCTATCTTAACTTTAAATAAATTAAAGATAAAGATGATTTCTGTTGGAATTCACTAAAACAAAAACAATAAAATTCCTTTGCTTTTCCAAATTCCTTTTTTCCAAATTACTGTCATGTCAGTGCCTATCTTAACTTTAAATAAATTAAAGATAAAGATGATTTCTGTTGGAATTCACTAAAACAAAAACAATAAAATTCCTTTGCTTTTCCAAATTCCTTTTTTCCAAATTACTGTCATGTCAGTGGGGGTGGGAGGATGGTGTCAAATGATAATATTGCATAGAGAAACTTCTTTAAATTTTAAACTTTTAGCTAAAAGTGATCTCTTAGTATTCTTTCCAGGTGTATTTGCATTTAAGAAATTTTCGTAACCAGTCATTGAAATTAAAGTGATTGTATTGAATGAATGTGTTGTTATCGTTAACTAAGATTTATTTATTCTAATCATAAAACAGTATTTCTTTATTGCTTTTCGGTTACCTCAATTTTCTAAAAGAAAAGCATGCTCTTTGCTTAGCCTGACTGCTGCTTAGCATTCTTGATACTTACATTGCTTATGGACAGCATTTTGATGGAAGATTTTGGGGTACCGGGAGGATCATCGGCTAACTAAAATAACTTAAGTCTGGATTTAGAGCCATACCCCATCCTGGCCCCCAACCACCGTGAATTAAATCATAAACTTCTGGCAAGTCTTCCCTTCAGTAGTGAAGAGAATCTCACATGACACATGAATTGATATAAAAAGACACCACATGATACAGAAAATACTTAAGGAAAAATTGCAGCTGTGAATACCCACTCTAAATCCCCACCAAGCCTATTAGTGATTAGGGTGGTAGATTAAGCAATTGTTCAACATACCTTCATTGGTAAAGAGGCATGAAGTTAAATTCTGCCAAGAGAGGAACAGAGAGGAATGCCCATCTGGGAAAACTGCTAATAAAATATTGTAAAGGAACCAAGGAGTGGGGTGGAGGTGGGGGGATAGAGCTATAGAGGTATTGAAAATGAGACTAACTGTCATTTTTATGCATTTCACATTCTGAAGATGGATGGGTTCCTTGTTTAAATTTTGTATCAGTTAAATTAAGGCAGGGTTTCTCAGCCTCAGCACCACTGACATTTTGGACCAGATAAGTTTTTGCTGGGAGGTGGGGATTTCGTAGGATGTTCTGTAGCGTCCCTAGCCTCTACTCACCAGATGCCAGTACAACCCTTTCCCAGCTGTGACAACCAAGATGTCACAAAATTTTCTCCGTTGAGAACCACGGGATTAAGAGATTATTATCCCGAAATACTGAAAAGCTGCAGACTCAGGCCAAAAATTATGTCATGTGCCATTTTATTTATAGGTCAGTGTGGGTGTTAGTCATGCCAGCCACCTTCAAGCTGTTAGTGTAGACTTGAAGCTCAGTTTAGACCTGCACTCTCTGACACCATGTGTTCTGTGCAAAAATGCTTCTCTGTGTGAGAATTGCACCAAATCTCACTTGTACCAGTGAACATCATTGTTCTGACCTCTACATACTATCTCCTGCAATAGCAATGAAAGTGTCCTTTCTGTTGTTAAATGCATTGATTTAAAGAATCCCTAAATCTACTTTGAAAGGTATATGGAAGGTAAGTATGAAACCAAGCAAACCTGACCCTTTGTCCCCAAAGGGATCTTCTAATGATGCTTTAGGAGATCTCAGGCTACGGCACTGCCCACGTGCTAACATTTTCTACCCACCTAGCTCACTTGATAATAATCATGTCTAAACAATTTCCACTCTTCTCTGTTCTTAGACTATTTTGACTTAACTTCCTTGCCCTCACTCCCCCTTTGGCTGGTTTAGCTAACTTTATGATTTACTCTTCATAAAGTTAGTCAATCCCCTGCTTTTTAAAACCTCTGGCTACTGCTAAGCTACCATCTTTCCCTAAAGTCTCCCCATTGAAAGTTTGCGTTTAATAACAGAAGTTGCCAACGTCTTGACCTCTTTCAGATATGACAATGGATGATGTTCGGGAATACGAGAAAAACATGCATGAACAAACCAACATAAAAGTTTGCAATCAGCTCTCCTCCACTGTGGATGACATAGGGAGCCATGCCCAGACAAGTGTATGTAGAATTTTTAAAACATGTTGCCCACCCTTTACCAAACACACACCTAAACTGATCTTGGAAATGGTGCAAATGCTCAGTTCCCAACCTTCCACAAAAACGAGTGATTGCCCAGAGGATGTTGGTGAAGAATCTGAGCTGGGTCTCAATTGGGCAGTGTCACTTCTTTCTTCCAGATATTTCAGTTCTTTAAAGCTGCTTGACTTGGGAGTTATTTTGGTCATAAAACCAAGAACATGGAGAGTGGAAACATGTTGTGGTTCTAGTAAAATGGCCTGCACCATAAAAGAGCGGAGGAGTGAAATGGATGTCTTACGTAAACTAGAACATGCCAGTAGCATTTAAAAACATAGTTAACACTCACTCGTTCATTCAAGGGAGGGCTTCTGGCTCATCTGCTATTTTAGGTTTCTTTACATTTGCTTTGAAATGCTTTCTGCAGCTCTTTATAGCTGTTTTACCCAATCAGTTCCTTTTTTCTTAGGGTAAGCTCAAGACGGGGCTGCAGGCTGTGCATACACATAGCTTGAGCAGCGAAGGGGAGGTGAGGTAGGAATGTGCTCATCTGCATAGTGGATCTAGCCTGGGACTTAGGATAAGCCTCTGAGAGCCTCAGGTTATTTAGTTGCACCCTGGAAATTGATAGCTGACTGCATGGTGTATGCCAGCATTTTAAACATAGTTATCTCTCAATCATTCATGCTAATAAAGAGGAGATGAAATGATGCAGCAAAATGTAATCACCAAATCATTTTTATGTATCTTCAGCCAGAGCTTGAGCCCTCATGTCTGTTAGCCCAGGCCCTCAGATAATACATACTAGATTTTTTTAAAAATCAAGAGTGTAGTTATAGAAACTTGAGAGGTGGCTATTATTGTAAATGGATGCTTTAGAATTGTGAAGACCTTCTGGTTGCACTTTGGACATTTTTAGTTAAGTTTTCAAGAGCATGTCTTCGGAATGTGCCCTGCAAGGCTCATGTGCTGCTATTGGTTGCATGTGTCTGCCCTTGAGGTTGCAAGGGCCCTAACTGTCCCTCTCTGTTTTGCATGCAATGATTGGACCTGCAGATAACTGTTGGTGCAAGATTTATCTTAGACGTTTCCTCTCTACTCACAGACAAATTCTGATGGGACTGCCCTCTTCCTCTCTTCCTGTTCTAAAGTTAGAAATGCTCTTTAAGGAATCTGTCCTTGAATTTTCATCACTTTCGATTACCTTTTCTTTTCGAAATGTTAGACACCAGCTCCCCCCAACTGCTCTGAAAGCTGTCCACTATAAATATGACCAGACAAAGGAAGCCACCAAAAAAGGAGAGACACCAGATGTCTAAAAGATACTAAGCACAGTGCTTTTCTCATGCTAAGTTCTTAAGGCTCACAGCTGAAGGCTCTTTGCTTGGTTTTGTATCAGTTTCACTATGATTATTATTATTTTATACAATTATAATGTCAGTTTACTAAGTAGGTGATAACCTAGCATGGTTCTCCACTCGGGAAAGCCCGTGTATCCTCTGGTTGCCACTCACGGTTGCTCCCATGACTTCAGGGTAAGAGATGCCTACCACATAAGAAGTTACAGAAAGTGGGTATTTTCAATGCTTATGACAGTTCCCTTACTCTTTGGAATTCTGTGAAGTTGGGGATTATTTATTTTCCCATAGTCTTTCTACTCTATTATAATGAAAAACAGTTAGAATCAGGAGGCTGCTGTCCACAAGTAAAAACTGCATGGATGCTAAATGAAATTTAAATCATCCACCTGAGCAGGAGAAAATTAGATTGAAATTATGCAAAATTAACATCCATGAGCACAGCAATAAGAAAATAAGTCTTTTCAGCTGCGTAGTTTCAAAGCCTTCAAGGAAGAGAACTTCTAAAAGACTGGCAGAGTGGAAAATCAAAATTCCGTGCTTTGGATGGTTTCTGCCCCCTGCTGGGTATGTGAAGTAAAGCAATGTTTTCAGCCTCTTGTGTAGAAAGTCTAATTTTTCAAAGATGATATCCGTTTATTATACCAAATACATACCATACCCCAGTTCATTAAATTTTTTTCTGAGAGTCTCAACTTTATTTTGAGGTAATGCCTCTTTTAAACCTTAATATCATTTTTTAGATTGTTTAATAGTCTTAGTATTTTAAAAGTGGTAAGTTTGTAGGAACAATTTTTCTTAATACATTCTGAATTTTGTATTATATCCACATAGTCACAACTTTTTATTTTCTTTGTAAAACCTTTTCCCTTTCAGAGAAGTTTAATAATTGTTCCCAGGAAATCCTCTTAAGGATTTCATTTTATGAGAAATATTTCTGGTTTGCTCAGATGTTATAAGACCTAATGATCAATACTGTTATGCATATTCACTCCACACCTAATATTTCCAAAGTGGCCATATTGTTTCCTGCTAGTTTATTCATGCAATATTATTTAATGAAGTTTCAACTACCAAGTACATAGTAGAGGACACAAAAGAATGAAAATTGGGTCTCTGGGAAGCCAAAATAGAGGTAGAAAATCTATGGGCAGCAAATTTCATGTTTTACTCAGGATGAGCCTTAGACCTTGACTCAGTGCTTATTTTAATAAGCCCTGTAACCTGTTTACCCTGTTCCCAGCAAGCAAAAATGGCAAAGGATACCAGGGATAGCCAGACTGACCGTAACTAACAATAACAATAAAAATAGAGTTTCTGAAAATGAGAGAAGAGATATCAAGCTAAAAAGAGCAAATAGGGGCCGGCCTGGTGGCACACTCGGTAGAGGGTGGCACTTGGGAGCACGGTGGCACTTGGGAGCACGGTGGCCCTCCCGCCAAGGGTTCAGATCCCATATAGAGACCAGTCCGCTCACTGGTTGAGCACGGTGTGGGCGCGACACCGAGGGTTGCGATCCCGTTTCCGGTCGCGGTACGGGCGCGACACTGAGGGTTGCGATCCCGTTACCGGTCACAAAAAAAGACAAAAAGGAAAAAAAAATAAAAATAAAAAGAGCAAATAGACCCTGAGAAGGAAACCATCACTGTGTGATATATTTTCATACGTAAGTGATGTATTTTCAATCTATTATGTCTCAAAGGTAGTAAGTGTGTATACTAATACATTAAGTACATTAGGAAAGATTTACATTTCAAAAAATGTTGTTTTTACTTTCTCCCTTAATAAGAACGTTTCAGATATTTGGAAAATCTACATCATCTGCCAATGCCTGTTAAAGGAGGTATCACTGGCTTATTTGTTGAATTCCGAATAATGCATTTTTTCTTTTAAATAAAATCCTCACTGATTAAGTGAGTCTCTCTTTTCATTCTCTATTCTTTTTCTTTTAAGTTTCCTTGAGAAATGGTTTTATTTTCTTGGCTTTTGAATAATTAGCAGGGAACAGTGGTGATGTAGTCTTATTTGTTTTTTAAGCTGCATTGATTAAAACACAGTGTCTAAACAATCTCAGGATGGATACACAGTAAGGAAACCAGTAACATAGCATCTTTATACACCCTTAGAATGCCAGAAGTATATTTATTGACTAAGAAGATAACATGTTAAGAAATTCTGTCCACCCAATAAAAGTATCCGTCTTTCCTGATGTAAAGTTAACAGTAATATGTATCATTTCAGGGCCATTGATTGCTTTAATTGCCTTCTCTTTATGGAAGACATGACCAGGTCCAAAAATAGCTCCATATACATCACAGAGTGCCACCATCACAACACCACACACACACACACACACACACACACACACACACACACAGAGACACAGTCTAGTTCTGTACTCTCCTGTTAAGTCCTTATTCAGAATACTTAAAATACTCATTGAAGAGTGCTTTGGAAAATCTTGTATGGATATTCATAAAGGAATGTTGTTCTCAAGGGTGTGCCTCAGTAAAAAGAACAAATTGGGAGTTTAGTATTTCAGTGATAATTTAGGTTGTGATCTGTAATGTGGACAGGCCCCTCTATGATAGTTTCTATAGTTCCTTTAAAAACAGGTATAGTCATGAATCCATTGCCTCTCTTCTAAATAACTACTCATTTTTCTGTTTTTCTCTTTGAAGACATGACAATGGATGAAGTCCGAGAATTTGAACGAGCCACTCAGGAAGCCACCAACAAGAAAATTGGCGCTTTCCCACCTGCCATTTCTATCTCAAGCATTCCCCTGCTGCCTTCTTCAGTCCGCAGTGCCCCTTCTAGTGCTCCGTCCACCCCTCTCTCCACAGACGCACCAGAATTTCTGTCAGTCCCCAAAGATCGGCCCCGGAAAAAGTCAGCCCCAGAAACTCTCACACTTCCAGACCCTGAGAAAAAAGTCACCCTGAATTTACCTGGTGTGCACTCTTCAGATAAGCCATGTCGGCCCAAATCAGAGTAACTTCATACAAGTATCTCATGGGGTTTTATATTTTTGTTTTGGGGGGGTTGTTTTGTTTGGTCTTGTTTTTAAAGAATCTTCTGATATAGAAAAAGACTGCTTTGTCACTCAAACATGTTCCTTCTATCTCTTGAGTGTGCACGTAGTTATGTAATTTCACATATAGTATGATCCCCTAAGTATGCCACACAGCATCATGTTAGATGTAGGATGTAAGACTTGCAAAGGACAGAAGGAATCTTCTGTAGCCATAGCTGTAAGCCAGGGAGGAAGCTTTGTGATTGGGCATTGGATGAGGTTGGCATAAACTTCAAGGGTAAATAAATGAAAACTTTGCACCCCTTTGTTACAAGGTGTGGTAAAATAGTGAAGTCGATTTCCTCCCATCAAACCTGAAACTCCCAAAAATACTCTCAGGCATAACATACCTAATTGTTAGATTTTGAAGTGCTCATCACCAGTACTTGAATACCAGTAGTTACTGAGATTCCTATTTTGGTTAGTCTGACTCAGGATTTGGGGCCTACTTAACTCTTTAAATTTTTGAAAATTTTAATTATTAACCTATAAAGGCTCCAAGTGCAATTAATAATAACTTATTTATACCTTTCACAGAATTTAATAAAGATTCCACTTGTTTCTGTCTTCGAAGAACTTTCCCCTTTGTGCCCTTGTGGCCTCAGAAATCTTTAAGAATTGCATGAATGAATGTGACCGTAACTGACTGATTTTGGAATGTTTTAGTTTAGGAAACAAAGGGCCCAGGTGAGGCAACATCTTTTATCTCTACAGGTACCAACAAACCTTGACTTATCAGATTCCATCATCCATTAAGATTCTCAGAATCTGCAGTTAATTGAATAGAATTCATTGCCTATTTGCCTATTCAAAGAAATTCAAAGGTAGAGTAAGCTAACTGGACTTCAACACTGTCAGAATGTCTGGTGCATGAACCATAAAAAACAATTGTCCCCCATCCCTCTCCTTCTTTTACTCTCAGTAACATCCAGACTTCCCTGGAACAGACTGCCCACCACCAGACCTTAGAGAAGACTGTCATTCTCTTGCTCCTTACTTAAAATCCAAATATTGGGAATGATGCAGAAATCGAGTAAATACTGTTAAGTATCAGGAAAGAATGGGCAGAATTGCTGGCTCCTATTCGTAGGGTAGAAAGGAGGAGTAATAATAGATGCCCGTCTGTCTAGCTTTCCTTTCTGCAAGTAGTGGTAATGCAGGATTAGAATCAAGGTTGACCGTAGGCAAGTTCACTCATCAAAGTGGCCAAGAGAGAATCTCCTTCGGTCACCTTTGCACCTCACTGCCTTTAAACACAGAAGGGGGGGCAAGCAGAATCTCAACTTTTGTCCTCCAAGAGAGGAAGAGAGCAAGGCATTTGGGCAACTCCAAGGCCCATACCCCAGATAGCCTTCCTGATCGTAACCTCCCACCTCAGGAAAAGGACCTTCCCAAAACACAGATTCCAAAGCAAACAAAAGAGACCAAGGAGCCACACGCTCCTTCTCTCACGCAGCCCCTCAGCCAGTGGACGCTGCCTGCGTCCCTCTCTCAGTGCTCAGCACTCTGTCGTGTCTTTCAGGTTGATACACTCTCCCAAGGTGCAGGCGCTGGCCCCATGAACCCAGCACCAAAGTGCTCTAAGTCACAGGTCAGACTGTCAAGATCATTTCTTTATCTATAGGTTGACATTTAGCTTAAAAAGAACAAACCCAGAATTCAAAGGAAACCAGTTGCAAGTAGCCTAGATCAACAATGCATCTCTTTCCTAAGAGTGGTAGTATGGTAGTAAGACACTTCTTTGCATGGTATGGAAGCATGAATTTTTGATTGTGGGAAAACAGTCTTTTCTCAAACCCCTTGGACTTCTCAATGGCTCCCCCTTCGCACAGTAGTACTTAATGAGAATGTTCACTTTAGGAAGCAAAATTCTACTTTTGGAAGACACTGAGATATAGTATATATATTTGCTTACTATTTGCAAGCTGAAATCAGGGTGGGGGTGGGATCCTTAATTTCATGTAGAGCAAATTGATTTCGTGCAGGTTGTTAACACATCTGGCACCTCGATTTTCCATTAACACTGTTGCTATTTTCCCTTTCTATAAAGTAGCATCTGCTGTCAAGGTCAACAATTTATATGCATTAGGAAGCTAATTTCTGATTTACTTTTGTGAGTTTTATTTCTTTTATAGCCAGTATAATGCCACAGATACCAATTGCAAAGCTACCCATGGTATTGTGATTCTTAGCCAACAAATGTGTGTGCTCTTAAGGTTCAGTTTTTCTGTCTATATGTGGTTTGTGAACATTAAAAGGGGGTGGTAGTGTGCAGATATTCATTTAGCTGCTTTCAATATTTAATCCAGTCATCACAAGGCATAAATGACTTCAATAAATCTTGGTTTTCAAGTGACATTTCACATTCTCCATACATAAATTTGTTATTGTGGAATACAAGCCTGGAATGAATGTGTATATAGAACATTAATAATTCTTATAAGGATGTACATTAAAAATGGCTGCATAATGGAAATTTAGAAGAAAATAAAGCAGAAACTTGAATTTGCTAAGCATGTTTGGGGAAAAATTAACTCAGTGCCTCTGTCTGCAATGTGGAAACCTACAACTTTATTCACCAAAATTGTATCATATCTGTATATATATATATATACATAAATATAGTATAGTGAATCAGACATTACCAGTTTTAAGTCTCTGGTAGCCAAATTAAAATAAATAATCCATAGAATAACATATGTTCACCCATTTTCATTTCTGATGTTGGTGGGGACCCATCAAAATGCCCAAAACTTTCATTAATTTGGGTGGATTTCAAATACGAAATGCTCCTGTGCTTTTCATTGGCTGTAGCTCAGGATCTTGCTTTGGCTGTGCTTTCCTGGGATAGAAGGTCTTGGTGTTTTTATCACATAAACTTTGTCAAAAATCACCTCTGAGGATCATTCCATTTTCCCACTTTCGGGCGGTAGTAAGACAAAGCAAAGAAGGAAAACAGTGAAAGAAGCCAAGACATTTTTGGTAACCACCATTATAACTGCAAATATATGGGTTCATTGGAAAACTAATTTATAAACCCTCCTGTTATGATTTTGCATCTGTGTGTGGGCAAAATGGTTTTAATTTATTTGGAGGTATTTATTAGCCATGTTTTTGGTTGTAAAAATAGATTTCCAAGTGGATGTGTAATGTGGACACTTAAAAAACACAACAATGTCCCCAAAAGTAATTATGCCATTTTCTTTCAAGACACTGTAATGAACAGTAAATAGATTCCAGCACGACTTGATAAGTGATTTTTCTGTGAAAGTTTCAGGGCTAATGTATTTATGTTTATTTTAAAATTCTAATTTCTTTAGCATCTCTTCATGGCTCAGAGACAACAAGGTAATAGGTCCCTGGCTGGCTTAGGTTAATAGGAATTTTACTTTTGAGAAGGGCCAGAGTATAATTGACTTTACATGTTATGTTTCATTAGACTATGCAATAGAGAGAAATTGTCTAAATAGTTTTAGTACCTTTCTGATTATCTGACTCAGTAGGCTAGGTGACAGTCTGCCATCTGAGCTGTAGTTCTTGAAATTAAAAAAAAAAAATCTGTCCACTGATAATTTGATCATAAATAATTTAAATCTATTCATTCTTGTTGAAATTGAAGTGTTACACAATAGCACCATGGTGGCATGCTGAGGCAAAACATACTGGGTTCTTCTGTGTTCTACCTTCAAAACAATCTGTTTGCATTTGAAATATAAGTGTTTAAGCTTCTTAGGAGTTAGTGCAATAAAAGAATGTGAACGTGTTGGGAACTTTTCAGATGCCATTATTATTGTAATTTTGTTGTTAAATTAACAAATGCTTTAGGATAAGCCTTTCAATGTTTTTGCTTTAAATTGAAAGCATGTCTGTTGAATTGCAAGTCTCCCTTTAGTTTCTGTATATCACCAAGAAATTCTTTGAGTTGATTTTGTACCTCTGCCACTTATATGTAGCTTCAAGTGTAACTTTTAGTGTTTACGTTTCAAGCCGGGATCTTGATTGATTAAATTAGTCAATATACCACTGCCACTGCTGAAGGACCAAGTTTTGGAAACCACAGTGTTACAGACTACAAGCAACGCAAACAAAAGTTGATCCTCACATATACCATCCTTCTGTGTCATTTTATGGCTGTTCTGTGTTTTTGCCCCAGTTATTTATTATTGTTAATAACTTACTTTTTCTTACATTCTGTTGTAAATAAAGTACAAAGCAATCTTCTTTCCAAGTGTAGATTCCTCTCTCTCTCTCTTTCTCAGCTATTCTCAAGGGCGTGTTGGCCATTATTAACCTGTGGGTCCGTGGAAAAGAAGCCAGAGAAGAAGGAAGAACAAGCCAATGGCCACTACTTAGACCCAGTCCTAGACAACCTGGGTTCAAGGAAGCCTCACCCACTAATAGGCATATGGTACCTTCAGGGCCAGGGCCCTTGATAGGAAAAGTCTGGGTGTCCGCTCTAATTATCCAGCCAAAAAATACCCAAGGTGAATCTGTAACCCAGTGGGATACACACATAGATTCATCCATCCTTCTAACAGGTGCTAGATTCCTCCACATCAAATGTGAGGCTACACACCCCAAGGGAATTTGTAGGAATGTCACCCAAGTGGGACACCAGATTCTCTCCACTGCAGATTGGGCCAGTTTTTAAGGTGAGCTGAAATCACTCTGATTTCAAGTAGCTCCTGTTGTTCACAAAGGGTCCTCTGGGGATGGGTACTGTGAGTACAGAAAGGCGTTATTGCCCCTGGCTCCTTTGATCCTGAAACTAATGTCAATGTCCACATTGTGTGTTCTGATCTCTGACTGGATCAGGCACACCGCTCATGTAACAGTATACCGTCACTGAACTTTCTACACTGAAAAATTTCCTGAAATCATACAACATCAATCCAATTAACTAAAACATGCTTGCTTTTGTAGTTCGAACTTCCCCATTAACACCCCCACCCTGCCTTTTAATTCTAAATTCAAAGCACGCAAATTTCCCACATATAGTTGCTGGCTGATATTCAGCCAGCAAACTTGGGTACAGCAAGGCTGGGTGTTTATTGCTGGGGCTGAACTACATTGGTTGTTCAATATTTGGATGCTTAATGTTAAATACATAGATGTTTGTAACACCCCCTATTTCCTAGCACAGCTTTAAGTCGAGGCATTATCTCATTATCATTATCCTTAAACTTCTGAACACCAACATTTTTTCTAAAATTTCCTTCTTTCCTCTTTTACATTCCACTTGGGGTTTCTTGCCTCTGACTTCCAACTGCACCTTGGCCTTTCAAGTTCAGGATAAATCATGTGTCCCTTCTCCAAGCCCTGTTCTGAAATATCTATCCATATCTGAAAATGTCACCCTCAAATCTGAAGCTTTGATGGCTTTGGAACATCAATCCACCTGTGTAGGCATATATATTCAAGTGTGTGTGTATTTAACTCAGTGACGTTGATACAAGCAAGCCCTGTTTTTAGGTTTGCGGATTGACTTTTCTCTGCTTAATTTATTGGCCCTTTGATATTTCATGCTCTCATAAATTCTCCCTTTTCCATAGTGTGCAACCTAGAAAAATATCCCATTCAAATTCAAACATTTAACTATTTCCCTGCTCTTGGGAAAGTTGGGGACAGTCTGGTACTTTGCCTTAGTGCTTTTGTTCATTCCTAGCACTGGGGAATTGGGCTCTTGTGTAGCCAGAGATGTTGGTCATGGCCTCAGAACCTACTGAGTCCTGGAACTTAAGGGATAGTTATATTTAATTCTAAGTACCAACCATCTGCACCAAAGGCAGACACGGAAGACTGGGATCGTCACTTCCCCTCATTTAACTTAAGCAGAGGAGTTTTGACCACTCTGTCACTGGAGTCTGTTTGAGAGCTATCAAATCTGGGCTTTTGTGATTTTTAAAAAATCCTATTTCAAAATAATTTTTCTGCTCCCAAGGGATTCTTCATGCAAGATGCTGGCAGTCAGAGCATTCCAAAGATAGGTTGCTTCTCTCTATGTGCAATACGCAGTGAAAGTTAGTCATCAGTACTGTGTGTTTTGCTCTTCTCAGAACACACGTGAAAATTTCAAAAGATTTCTACCAATTTAGATTTTCCCACTGTCATCTTGAAGTTATTCTGCTTTTCTACATTTTGATAAATTCTATTATATAAACCCAAATATGGAATTTTTTTATCTTCATTCATTAAGTACTTTATTTAGAATTTGTACTTTCTTCTGTGAAACATAACTGGTAGATCCATGTCTTTCTACAAATGTTTCGGGGATTTTGTATTGTTTAATAAACACCTTTACATTTGTTACCTAGCATGTTTATCATTTTTCATCGTTACATAATATTCCATTGGGTTGAAAATCCATAATTTACTTAAGAATTTCTTTATTATTGAGCATTTAGGTTATTTTTTGGATCTTGTTATGATATAGAGTGCTGTTAGGAACACCTTTGTAACATCGTTTACGTCTTCTTAATTATTTGTTTTGGATAAACTCCCCAAAATTGAATTACTGAGTCCTAGGATATGAATATTTTTATGATTTTGGGTACTTACTACCAACATGCCCTCCAAAAAAATTGTACCAGTTTGCAATTCTACTGACAACATATGAGTGAGAACATGTGTCTCTTTTAATAAGTATTTGCAGTTTTAAAAGTTCACCATTCTCAACTTGTTAACCAATTGCCAGCATCCAATTCCTATATAAATCTTTTGTTGTTTTAATATATTTATAGGCAAAATACCCTTATTTGGGGTATCACCCTAATGAACAGAGAGCCCAGACACAAAGAAGCTCTCTGATTTATTTAAATGTTCAGTGCCTTTGTTAACTAAGCTTCAGGAACATTTGACTGGCTACTACAAAAACATAAGACTATCTTGAGCATAACGAACTGCATTTAGCAGAATAAACAAACATCAATTCTAAGTCATTTTGTTTTCACACTTTCAGTGATAACAAACATTGAATGCATTTTTACTTGAGGATTTCCTGAAAACCACTACACAAGTGCCAACAAGTTTTTTGGTTTTGTTTTTGTTTTAACCAAGAGACAATCAGAGTAAAGACTGGACTCACTGTTATTTCAGAATCAGTGATTTCCCTGAGTCTAAGCAGAACCTTGGTAAAGGACAAAGCAGAATCCATCCTAAGTCTTTTACTTAATTTCCTGGAGAAAATATGATGATAGCATGCATCTATGTTCTAAAAAAGGAAGATAACCGCCTATGCATAATACTCTCTTAAGCCATGTGAGAGCCATTCCTGAGAAATAGGGAATTCGCCCCAAGGAGAGTACATGGCCGTTTCTCATCCATAACAAGGAAGGTATCAAATTTACCTTCAAGTTAGTTTGGGATCTGACTGCAGTCTTTACTTTTCCATTGTTGGTGTGCATTTGTGTTGATTTTTCATTTTGAAATAATTATAGATTCACAGGAATTTGCAAAGAGATGTACAGGGATGTCCTGTACACCTTCACCCAGACTGCCCTAATGATAACAGCTTGCATAAATAATAATACGCTATCACAACCTGGAAATTGACACTAATACAATAATGTTTCAAGAATAAGGTGATAAAAAACAAAAGAAAAATACTTTTTTAAAAAAGAATAAGGCATCATCGGATGAGTGGATACGGAAAATGTGGTATATCTACACAATGGAATACTACTCAGCTATAAAAACGAATGAAATACTGCCATTTGCAACAACATGGATGGACCTTGAGAGAATAATATTGAGTGAAACGAGTCAGGCAGAGAAAAAGAAATTCCACATGTTCTCACTCATTGGTGGGAGCTAAAAAAACAAACAAATTAATTCACCCACATACACACACAAAAAAAAACCGGGGGGTGGGGTGGGGAAGAAGATATAACAACTATACTTTTATGAAGTTGTTACAACAAGCAAACGGAAAGGACATTCTTGGGGGGGAGGGGAGAGAGGGAGGAGGGAGGGAGGTGTCGGTGATGGGCCATAATAATCATATACATTGTATATTGACAAAATAAAAATTTAACGAAAAAAAATAAAATAAAATATCAACAAACAAACAAACAAAAAAAAAAGAATAAAGTCAGATCAACAGAACCCTCTTCAGTTTCTTACATGCAAGTTGTGAAAATAATTATGCTTTGTGTCTGTAAAGAGAATTAAATAAGGATGCTTGGCTCATTTAAAAAAAAAAACTAGCTAATTTCAGATTAACTAGTGGGTCAATAGTGTGTTATATTTAGATCCTTTTGAGCAACATGACCTGCTATTGTCAGAATATAGAAATGTCAAAAGTGTCTCTTTTTTCTGATAAGCTAAGTCTAATTTACATCTAAACGAAAAAGCTTTTTGCATGATAAACACCCTCCCCAGCCTGTTGAATGGCTTTTTTTTTTTTTTTTTTTTTACTTTTTTAATATTTGGCAGCTGGTCTGTACAGAGGTCAAACCCTGAACCTTGGTGATATCAGCACCACACTCTAACCACCTGAGCTAACCATCTAGCCCCCGATGAATGGCTTTTGAGAGAGATCTGATTAATACCTAGAAGTTTAATTAGAAAGGCCAAAATTTTGTTAATTGAATTTGCTAAGCAATGCCACTGCCTTGGCTGAAACTCTTCAATGATTGCATTTATATAAAATTAAACCTAATGTACCCAGAGAACTACACATACCCTAAAAATGAGCTTCTTCTTATCTGGATCCAAATATAAATTACTTTAAATGTTTTGGTTAGTTCCTCTCCTTCCTCCCCCCATTTCCCCTTTCTTGATGCTACAAATGGAAACCAAGGAAAGAGGGTTTAGAAAGTAAAATACCTCAAATCCTCCTGAGAGGACAAATTGAGAGCCTTTCTTCCCAGAGGGGGCACTGAGATCCATAAAGGGGACCTCTAATATTTCACATGGTATTCTCCTCTCCCAATTTTAGGCTTTTTCACTTTCTTCTAATGTGTTCTCTAACTCATTCATCTGAGTTGTTAAATGACCCCTACACACAACAGCCCTTAACTTTGGTCCAACAGCCCCCATAATGCCCACAGCTGGGTCTCAAATATCTACTCTCTTCTCCACCCCTAGCTCCATCCCACACCCTGAAAGCCCAACCTTTCTTCCTTGTGGCCTCCTCACCTCCACTGAGACGGGGGGGGGGACACTACCCCTTGTCTAGTTTCCAACAGATGAAGATGATTTCCTGACATTCCAAGAGGAAATTCTAAA